CCTGAGGGTGGAGTGGAGTGGAGACCCTGATGGTGGAGTGGAGGGGAGAACCTGAGGGTGGAGCGGCTACATGTGGAAAACTCAACTCCCCAGTGTGGTCCCAGTTCTGTTAGAATGAGGGCTTCTCCCTCCTGAACACTCCACAGGGGGATGACCGAGGGGTGTTTTCTGCTGCTGTGTGTTTAGGACCTTAGGGTCCTGTCAATCAACACGCCTTCCTTACCAAACAGCGACAAAGAATCTGCCTTCCATAGGAATGTTTTAAGCCCCTGTTTTAGAGGTCTAAGAGAAATGCTCCATATAGCCACAGCAGGGCGGTGATAAGCCACCAAAGATAGCAGATGACCGTCTTAGTTAACAGCTTGAGGGAGGAAGGCTGCAGGGCTTGAGGCCTATGTGCCTCAGTGCTCTGGAGGCCTCTGCAAAGTCCGCCCATGGGGGGTCAAGGCCTGGGAAGGACGCCAGAGCAGAAGCACCCCAGGCTCTCCTCCTGCAGCCACAGGCGGCTTTCATGGGGCTTCAGAGCTCACCTCCAGATGGGGCTCCAGCTGACTGTTTTTCCTTTGGTTAAGTACACATAGAAATAACAAAATCACCTTTTGTCTGGGAGCATTTATCTGTGTAAACGTCTCTGTTGGCTTTCTCTTGAATTTACCCATGAATACACACACTCAGGAAAATATATTTCTTTTTCTAAAAATATTTTGAAATGTATATATTCTAATATTTTCTAGAGAACCGCAGCGTTAGTGACAAAGCCTAGCAAATCATCTGAATTTGAATTTCAGTCCATCTGCTTTTCTAGGAATCTTCCACGTGAAATGTGAAACGACTTGCCAACGGGAGGTAGTGGTGATATTTTCCTCTGTGAACCAAATGGTAACACTGGAAAAGGAACAGGACTGTGCTCATTTTCCTTCATCTCCACCTGAGTCCTAATCACGATGGGTAAACTGAAGAGTCAGCACGACCATCTGTGCAGAATAGTTTACTGGTGAGCAGCTTGCACTCCCTCGTGAATGTAAGGTTGGCTGAATTTCTGTCTGCTTGTCTAGGACACTGAACCCTGGTGCCTAAAACATGCCTCTTACGTATGTAGTAGATGTTCAGTGCCTCTGTCTGTGAGACCCGCGATACACTGGGCCTTATTTTCCCCATCTGTAAGTGGGAGACCCATTGTCTGTGACAGCTGTGAGTTAAGGAGAGACCATGTAAGCAAGGCTCACACCGTGCTGAGGACAGACAAGGACTCAGTGTACCTTGGTGGTGGTGGTGAAGCCTGTATTAGTTTATGTATGAACAAGGGCTCGCAATATTTTCTCCCAACTCCAATGAGGGCAGTTGCGTAGATGCTGTACAAGTGCATTACATTAAGAAAGTTCTTGCACTCTGGGAGGCTGAGCAGGTGGATTGCTTGCGTTCGCAAGTTCTAGACCAGTCTGAGCAAAAAAGCGAGACCCTGTCTCTACTAAAAACAGGAAAACTGAGGCAAGAGGATCGCTTGACCCCAAGTTGGAGGTTGCTGTGAGCTATGATGCCAAGGCACTCTACCCAGGGTGACAGCTTGAGACTCTGTCTCAAACAAAAAAAAAAGTTATTTCTCAGTGGTGAAAGTTGGTGAATAGTTGCTAACAAAGGAAGGTTCTAGAAACTGTTTTTTCTAGTGCTGTTTAAAAGAGTACTTGTATATATATATATGTATTTATTTCATAAAATGAATTGAGGTGACCCATGAAGGTCATTTACTCTTAGGATCCTATGAATTGATTCAATGCATAGCCGGGCCAAGGAGGTGAGGTTAGACAAGGAAATCTATTTCAGCACACTTGCCGATAAATGTTTGAAAAGAGAGCGTCTGATTTTCATTCTCATCACGTGGAGAGATGCCTCTAGAAGCAGAGCATGTTTATATTTGTCTTTGCCTGAAAGTTTGAGTTGCTGATTGACCTAATTAGAGGCTCAGTGAAAATACCAACCCGCACTCTGTTCTCTCACCATCACTCTGTCGGAACTGAGGGAGTCAGAGATGAACTCTGAAGCAGGCAGGGAAAGCTCTGTGTGTGTGATGCCGTCAACGTCCGTGAGCACACGGCCCAGCAAGCATGTCTCACGTTTTGTCAGCATCAGACGTACCTTTTCTCGCACTGACTCTCCCGGAATCAGCTGGGGCTCAATGGTGATAAACAGGGTGATGTAGGATCCTTCACTTAAGCTTCGGACAGACTCAAAACCCCGCTCCAGAACCATGTTCTGCTCCTTACTGTAGCCCAGAAGAACTGGGGGGATGTCTATTTTGAATGTTCCATCAATCTGTGAAGAAAATAGGACTTGGTAAATAGCCTGGAGATTTTTCCAACAGAAGTTCAGAAACAGAAGTGTCGACCCCTCATTGTCTAATGAATTAAACAAAACCCACTCAGCATGGCATGCGAACCTCACCCCACCTTTCTCGCCTTGTCTCTAACCTCTTGACTGAAAGAGCTCTCTGTTTCCCTGCCTCCTTTTCTGGGTTCAGCAGAGGGTCATTCAAGTTGACAGGGTTCAAATCCTGGCTTAAACTCCACTGGCCTCAGAAGAATTCATTTGTAAAAAGAAACAATAGTAGTACCTACTTTTTAGGGTTGTTCCATGTATGAAATGAATTAATCGATGTAAAAGACTAAGCAAAATGTTGGCTGTGTCGTAAGCACTCGATCAATACTGGCTAGTGGCTATTAATTAGCCTTTTCTGGAATGTGTAGCTTCCCATCTCTACCCGTCAGAATTTTAATCCTCTTTAAGGCTGAGGTCAGAGGTCGTCTCACTACCCTCACAGTTAGTTTCCTTCTGACTTTGAGACATTCTATCTGACTTTATAATTGTGTGTCCCTCTGTCATACTCTAGGTAATTGCTCCCTGAGAACAGAATGTATATTTTACCCTCTTGTACCAACCTTCTCTGACATAAAGCAGTTTTATATACAGAGTAGATGTCTAATAAATGTGGGCTGAGTGATGACAAGTGGCATTCATGTCTTGGGGGAGATAGAGAAAGAACTTAACTTTCAGTGACTGTGTCTTCTCAGGATGAATTAAGGAAGCTATTTGCTTTCCTCCTTACACTGACAGAATTCACCAAATCCTGTACCCAATTAGATGACAGGGTACAAGGAAAACAACAGTTTTAAACAATGACATAGAAAGTACAGCCAGGCTCTGCACCTGTAGCTCAGTGGGTAGGGTACCAGACAAACACACCAGGGCTGGCAGGTTTGAACCTGCCTGGGCCAGCTAAACAGCAATGATAACTGCAACAAAAAAATAGCTGGCGCCTGTGGTCCCAGCTACTTGGGAGGCTGAGGCAAGAGAATTGCTTAAGCCCAAGAGTTTGAGGTTGCTGTGAGCTGTGACGCCATGGCACTCTACCAAGGGTGACATAGTGAGACTCTGTCTCAAAAAAAAGAAAAACAGCTGAAATAACTGAGCATATTTATTCTATAAAATACAGAACTTTAGAACTTCCACAGCTGATCACCTCCTTGCGTTGTCAGCCTGATCAGTAGGGGTTTTTGTTAAGCACGTTTCTGCTAGCCATCGTTCATGTTTCAAACAGTGAGGACTAGAAATATTAACAGAACGAGCTGGACGGAATGGGCCATTCACTGCCCTGTCCCCTTCAAGTTACATTCAGCCCCTATCTGTCCCACTTTTGTCATTTTGACAAGTTTCCACTTCATCCCAGCTTCATTCCTCACTTCTATTTAATGTTTAAAAATTCTCAGATGTGATCAGTCATGTATTAGCTCGTAACTCTGAGGAACACAGAGGCGTGTCCATAAATCCTGCAGATAGGATGGAAGATGAATGGCTTCATATTGTGGTTTAACAAAAATCTTTTTAAGGGCTTTTCACACACATTCTCTCAGTGTTGAGGGGATGTATCCCCACCAGAAAGTTTTATTAGGAAAAACAGATAGAGCGGGTCCCCATTTTCACGGAATTCTGACCGTGAGGCTTACCCTTGCTTGGAAATATATTGTGCTAAATGGAATTTTCACACATCCCAACCAGTGCCTCTCAACGCGAGTATGGGTCCCATTTCCTCTTTCCCGGTCATCCTAAAGGAAGAGTGGGAGGTAATAATAGTTTCAGAATTCCAGACACTCATCTGATTATCTCAGCAGCAGGAAAGCAGCAATATTTTAGCTAAAAGCCACTGAACTTAGGTTAGACAGACCTAGTCACATTTTGGTTCAGACACTTACCATGTTTTCCTGAAAATAAGACACTGTCTTATATTTATTTCTTCTCTAGAAGACACACAGGAGCTTATTTTCAGGGGATGTCTTCCTCTCCGTGGCTGAAATGCAGGGTGTGGCTATGCAGTGGATTCACTGCATAGCCACGCCCATCACTAGGTCTTATTATCGGGGTAGGGCTTATATTTAACAAATGCAGAGAAATCCTGCTAGGGCTTATTTTGGGGGTAGGTCTTATTTTCAGGGAAACACGGTAATAGCTTTTCAACTCTTGGAAAGTCAACTGGCCTTGCTGAACCTCAGTTTTCTTATTAATACACTAGAGGTTTAACAGTCTGTAGGGCTATTTGGAATTAAACAAGGTGACATATATTAGACACCTGGTATAATTCCTGATGCACGTGGAACACTCAGCCAAAATTTTAAAAGGCAGTTATTTCACCCCTTCGCCCCTTTCCTGGTTTATATTCGTCGAGTTTCAAATGTTTCACACATAAGAAAGGTGAAGGTGTGTTTGGAACTTACACAGCGGGCAGAGGATATGAAAATGAGCACTGATGTCTTCCTCAAAGCGGGAACTTACCTCTAAGACATCGTACAGGACTTCATCAAAAATGTTAATGAAAACGTCATCTTTCACTGACTGCAGGCTGGTGGTGCTGTAATCCCCGTTAGGGGCCCTGTAAAATAACATGCGACCAGGAACCATGAAAATAGACACAGCCGAGATCATGAGCACTCAAATGCCAACATTTCAAAAATCCTCAAATAGGACCATAGATGTGAGGATTAAAAGCAGTGATTTTTTTTTTGGAGACAGAATCTCACTATGTTGCCCTCAGTAGTTTGCTGTGGTGTCACAGCTCACGGCAACCTCAAACTCTTGGGCTTAAGTGATTCTCTTGCCTCAGCCTCCTGAGTAGCTGGGACTACAGGTGCCTGCCACAACACCTGGCTATTTTTTGTTGCAGTTGTCATTGTCGTTTAGCTGGCTGGGCTGGGTTTGAACCCACCAACCCTCGGTATATGTGGCTGGTGCTGTAACCACTGTGCTATGGGTACCAACCAAAAGCAGTGCTTTTATTTCCAGGTGTGTCTTGTGCGAGGATATTACTTATTATGTAATATGATACCTACCCTCAGATGGAAAGAGCATCAGACCTGAGGCTCAAAGCAGAGACAAACCCTCTGCTGGTCTGTCCTGATGAGTCTGTCCACCCCCCACCCCAACCCTAGGGTAAGCTTTGCAAAGAGCCAGCTTGCCAGGACTGAGCTGGCTCAGAGGACAGCTACTTGGCCTCTGGCTGACACTGGCGGGAATATAGACTTCCTGAGCCACTGGGTCCCAGAGGGTGCTTCTCCAGCAAGACCTTTCACAGGTGATAAGCCTCTATTGTTCCATGGTAGTTGATGGTCCCTGCCTCCCACTCACTTTCCCCACAAATAAGTAGCAGCCCAAGAGCGAGTTTTGTTTCCTGGGATGTAACCCTCCCTGGGTTCAGCCAAGGCCAGCCCAAGCATGTCTGTCCATGGCACGGCTGGAGACGGGCACTGCCTGCATTTTTTGAGCATTTGTCCTTAAGTTTCTTTGTTCTTTTTGCTTGTTCCATGTGTGATAGTTGTATCTGTCCCACTTCTGACTTAACTGGTCCTAATCCTTACTCTGTCTCTAATTTAATATGTGGCTTTAATTAAGCCACCTTCCCTCTTTGGGTTTAATTTCTTCTCCATAAAAGTAGAGGGTGGACTAGATCATCTCTGAATCACTTCAAGCACTGGACTAATAAGAGCCCGTTAAACTATCTAAATCCTTTGAACAAAGTTCTGAGATGCCTGGGTATTTCTGGCGAAGGAGAAAGTGTAGTTTCAGATTCACTTGTGGAAAGATGAGGAAGGAAGGAGAGACAGAATGGGGCAGTGGGGCCAAAGAAAGAGAAATGACGGGCTGTAAGAATCCAGTGCCCGAGGGAAGCATAGTCGCCCAGCAACTGAGTTTCACAAGGTTGACAGTCTTCCATTTTTATTCTGGATGAAGTCAGCTATAGGACAAGAGGAGAAACACTTGGTATCGGGCCACCTGGTTCCTGGTCCAGCTCACTAGCTACAAAATCTTTCACCCCAGCCATTTCTCACTGAACCTCTGATGCCTTTGTGTTTCTTCAAATTGTGCGGCAGTTCTCTAAAGAGAAAACCTGCTTACCTGAATGGAAGTTCAAGTTCTTCATTCCAGCTGGGGTTTGGCCCTTCAGCTGTACTTGTGTGGCAGATCGTTCGTTGAAAAGAGACTTCTACAAAAGGACGCACTAAAACCTGAAAACCAAGAGCAAACCCTAAGACTCCGTAATAGTTGATTGAACTGTTCTGCTAATAGCAAAAGTAGAATTTGCTAAGTAGTGTGTTTTCAAAGAAAATGAAGCAGAGCAGTTCATGAAATTTATAGGCGATTCTCAAAAACTTAAGGGGGTAAGATGCCAAGTTGGATTCAGTGTCTGGGTCTCTCACCTGGCCAAGGGGGTAGTCGGCACTGTGGGTGGGGCTGTGTGTGCTGGGGGAGGCCGCACGCTTTTCACTGAATGTCCTCGAAGACCTCGATGGCTGCTGGAATTTGCTAGGAGAGGAAATGTATGAAAAATAAACGGCAGGGGAAGGTGAATCACACACAGAGACAGGCTTCCTGACAGCTGCTGTCATTTTGAGAGGCTGTCAGTATGTTTGGGTCCCCCCAGGCACCCAGCGATTACTGGAGCCTTCCCTAACCCCCACTCCTAGTCTGTGGCTGAGGACAGAGGATCCCACTGAATGGGACCTCTTTGCTAACTGCCCTTCACATAAGCCCCTGAATCTCCGTCACACCTTGCTTTCTTGAGCCCTGTGGCCTACCTATTCTTTCCCCTGTTTGCCTCAAAGCTCAAAGGTGGGGGGTCAGGGGGTCCCACTGAATGGGACCTGCCTTCCCTCCATAAATGAGAGCCTCCGTCCCTCTCAGGTGGGAAGTCCTGTGCTTACTGACCAGCCTGCCTGCCCCCATCCAAGTCCGGGGCTTTCCCACTGTATTTTCTTTGAACCTGCACTCTCCAGTGACCCCAAGCTCCAAAACCCACATGAGGAATCTCTCTCTGGGCCTGCCGAGCCTCGCTTGGAGGGGAGGTGCAGGGACTTGTAGCTTGAGTTTGGGTCGGTGAGTCTTATGTTCTTCCCTCTTCTGAGCTGCCATTCTCAAAACAGCAAGCAAAGGCCATCTGCACAGTGCCTCTTCCAGCACCTTCCACCTCCTCCTAACAACCCGCTTGAGCATTATGGTCGCCAGGTACTTCACAGTCATTACTGGGCAGAGTGCGGACTGTGCCTTTCTTACCAATCTGTTACCTTTTCATAGCCAAGTTTGCAGACAAACTAAGTGGGACCTTTAAGAACTCTTTTTGGAAAAACCATCAATTAACAAACATTTGTTATTAAACAAACATTTTCTCAGTCTCAACTGTATTTCAGGACCTGTGTTAGACTCCGGGCTACAGAGATGAATAGGATAGCAGGTCAGCTCAGACCAGACGGGAGGCAGATGTGTGAACAATCAAATAAAGTGAGATGCCTGTTGGCAGGAGGGATGGGCGTAGGCTGTGGGGGCACAGTTGGGAGGTGAGACCTGCTGCTCTGGTGGCTGAAAAGGTTGTGGGTGAAGATCAGGTTTAGTGGGAGACTTGACCTCTGAGCTGCCTGGATGCACGTACATTGAACTGCCCAGCACACAGAACTCTCCCTTGAATTACATGAATGAAATGATTTGACACTTAAAAATATTCTACAGAGGCATAAAATAAAAGAAACACACCTATAGGTTTGGTTTTTATTTTTGCAGTTTTGGCTGGGGCTGGGCTCGAACCTGCCATCTCTGGTATATGGGGCCAGCGCCCTACTCCTTGAGCCACAGGTGCCACCCTAGTTCTTTTTTAAAAGGCAGCTTTTCACGCCACATTTGAGCTTTGAGGCAAACAGGGGAAAGAGCAGGTAGCAAGGCGTGACGGAGATTCAGGGGCTTATGTGACACTGCAAGTAGCAAAGAACGAAGAGTAGGTGGTGATGGTAAGATGTTCTGAAATAAGTCCAAGAATTAGTAAGGAAGACAGGGCAAGGCGATGGGGTAGGGGAAAGAGTGGAGAGAGAGAGGAGTGAATTACAGGAAAGGAACGCAGGAAGGCAGGAGAGAAGATACCAAGGGCCAGAGCCGTGGTCCTCTGTGGGACCAGACAGTGATGAATGACCTTGGCCAACCCACTCACACCCTCTTCACTTCCATCTTCCCTTTTGTGAAATGGATGCAGTGATATTAGTAAGAGTTAAATGCACGGTGCTTTGAACAGTGAACACACAGTAATTGCTGCTTTCTCTCACTATGCCGCCGGTCAGGGACTTGCAGAAAGCAGTTTCAGGCCTTGGTCCTCCCTTCTCCGTTCTCTAAGGGTATTCAGAGCTGAGACTCATCTGCCCTAGGGTGACAGCGCCTGGTGGCCCCCAGTGAGTGAGCCGGGGTAGCTGTAACTCATTGCTCTGAGCAGATAAAAGGAAGCCCCAGGGTTAAGCTCATGGCCTGTGTGTTTCAGAACCTTGGACAGAGGCCTCACCTGCCTCTGCCCAGCTCACACCATCTCCGAAAACTGCGCCCACCTTTCAGGGCTGGTGTTCCTGACTCTGTCTCTCTGGCTGTAGGCAATTAGACCTTAGGTCAACAGCTGACCAGGTTTGCACTGTCACACTCCCTTCTGAGAAAGCAATGCTTACTTGCTGGTACCCTGGCTGTGTGGACTACTTCCATGACATGAAAAAAAAAATGACGCAAACTCCAGAGAGAACCGGGTGAGAGAGACAATGTGGCCTGGAGAACCACCTTAATCCCTGCAGTCTGCCACGTGGTTCAGCTGTTCCTCTTGTCCTTGAGTCTCAATAAATCCCCCTTTATCCCAGATTGACCGAATAGAGTCTATTACTCACAAACAATGGGGCCCTGGCTTCAGTGAGAACCCCTAGACCCTGCTGGATAGTAACTATGCTAAGAATGAGTGCTTGGCTCTGAGGAGGTGGCTGGCCAGGCTCCTGCATCCCCTGTCCCAGGCCTCTCACCTTGCTGCCTGCTTCCTGACCGGAAGGTCATACGCTCGGACGATGTTCACCAGTAGCTTTATGTCTCCGTCCGACAGGTTTTGGGCTGTCACCTTCTTCCGACCTTTTCTCCTTGGCCTCAGTGGTCGCTTTTGTTCTGCCAGCTTGAAAAGGCTTAAGCCCAAAATGCTGACAATTATAGAAAATAGTATTAGGAAAAGAAAGGTCTGGGAAATTGTGAGACAGACTTCCTAAACTCTGCCCCAGGGTCTCCCACGGGCTTCTGAAAAATTCTTTGTCATTTTAAGGAGGGTGGAGATAGCATGGAAATCCTCCCAGATTGGGGAGGTTCTACTGCACAGATTATTAACATTTATTCTAGGTGTTGCTATCAGGGAAGGAAAGCCACATTCTGGCCACTACGCGTCCTCCCTCATCTCTGACTAGCTTGGCCATCAGCCCATCAGACGTGCCAGTGCTCTGCCCCCTTCACCTGGGCTCTGGCCAGTCCCTGCGGGAGGAAGGTCTCCCTGCCCAGGTCACAGTCTGCCCATTCCTCAGGGCCAGTGCCTCCCCTCCCGTAGGGACCAGCCCCATCCGCTGGACGCCTCGAGCCCCCTTCACATGCCTGTCAGTGTGCACAGCCGCCCGGGCAGGTCCCAGAACAGCTGGCTCTCTGGAGTCAGGAGCGGGCGTGTTACCTGGCTCCAGTCTTTGCCCTTGGGCAAATTCTTTCACCTCTGTAAGTCTCTGTTTCATCATCTGTAAAGGGGATGACAGTTGCTACCTCTTGGGGTTGTTGAGAGGATTAAATGAGGAAGTGTGTATAAGGCACCCTGGCTCTGGTCCAGCACTTAGCAAACATCCTAAAACGGGAACTAATGTGGTGATGACGATGATTATGCCAGTGCTGACAGGGGAGGAAGAGGAGGCGGTGGAGGCTGGAGGAACGGGGAGGGGCAGAAGGGTCCTGCTCTCATCCCTTTCTACCTTTCCCTGACAGGAAGAGCAGTAAACACAACCTGGAGGGTGCAAGCAGCAAAGTCAGTGAGTACAGGACAGAGGCCCACAGAGCACATAAACTAGAAGCACAGACGAGACTTTATGTCTGTATCTGGAACCAAGCCAGCCTGTAGAGCAGCCATGGGCCATGGTGCTCGTGGCTCTCTGCTTCCCTGTAGAGCAGCCACGGGCCATGGTGCTTGTGGGTCTCTGCTTCCCTGTAGAGCAGCCATGGGCCATGGTG